AGGGTACACCAAGGCCTGCTACCTTCCACCAGATGACTGTGGACCTTTGTGGTGGGCTAGGATCTCAGGGAGTTTTCAGGGTGAGGCTAGCAATGTTCATCAGGCCTAAACAGACCAATTATTTGTGTGAAGGGGTGGATCTACAAAGGTCGGAACCATGAGGGGAAAATAGCCCTCATTTTAGAGCCACACAATTCAGTCTGTCTTGGATTCTGCCTGGACCTCCTTGACAACCCAAGCTTGGCAGGACAGGGATGCTGGAGTCAGGAGAGTAGGGCTAGTGAATCTCCCATGGGGGCACTGTTCCAGTAAGGCTTGCAGGAAGGGGAAGCAAGTGGCATCCACCCAAGTACCACACAACTCAGTCTCTGTCATCCACTGAGTCCTCCCAGACCTCTACATCTTGGAGTCAGGCAGCTGACTGTAAGGTCGGCTGACAGGGAGTCTGGGACTATTGCATTCCCCCAGGCTGGACCCTAGTGTCTGTCCCTTCAGCTCTCTCCCCAGAGCCACACCACTCAGTCTTTTCTCACAGAAATCTATTCTACTCCAAGCTGCCCTCTTTCTACTGAAGCCCAAGGTGAGTGCGTGTGAATGAGATTTTGTGCTGTGGCACTTAAAGAGGACTCCTGGGTTTCTACAGACTCCTATCTCCCGGGCTGACAGAATCATTGCTGATTTTCACAGTCAGATCTTATGTGGGCTCCTCTTCCTTACTCTGGTGTCTAGGCTGGGGAGCCTGGTGTGGGGCTAAGACCAAGGGAACCTTTGAAGCTGAGATATCTCTCTGGAATCTCAACTGTTCCCTGTGGGTGTGGGGTCAACCCTTTTCATTAACCCACCATTCCTACATGTCTTGATGTGGCTTCTTCTGTAAATCTTTGGTTATGAGACTTTAGTCCAGCTAGTCTTCAGTTGGTTGCTCAGGTGGATTTCTCTTTTCCTTTTTCTTTTTAATGTAGAGAGAGATCAAGGCATCATTGTGAGAGAGGAACATTGATTGGTTGTCTTTCATACATGCCTGAACTGGGGATCAAACCTGCAACCCAGGTATATGCCTTGACTGGGAATTGAACCGGCAACCTTTCAGTGTATATGATGATGCTCAACCAACTGAACCACTCTGGCTAGGCTTAGGTAAACTTTTTTATATTTTAGTTGTAATTCTAGTTTGGTCTTGGGAGAAGTTGAATGTAACTTCCACCTATTCTTCAGCCATCTTGAATTTCCTACAAAATCCATTTAAAATATCACACTGATCTTTTGATAAAAATTATCTCACTCCCATAAGAACAATCTCTTACTAATGTTTCTGTTATGTACATGGCCATTACCTATAAAGCTCTCTGAACTTCTCCAAGGGAGAAAAATATGTCTTTCTATCTGTCAAACTGCTGTTATCAAACTCAGAATGTGGCCCATGATTAAATGTACATTTGTCTAAGCACCTTTCTGGTACTATTTTTTTTTTTCCTGGACCACTAGAAAACTCAGAGAAAATGAATTAATTGCACTATTGTGCTCCTGCAAAAGCTTTATATATAAACAGCTTATACTTATTTAGCAGTCTGTACCATATACAGAGCTTTCATTTGCATTATCTCATTTGGCTCTCAATCCCACCAAGAAGGTATTATCAGCCTCATAGGTTTTCTATGAGGAAACCAAGATTCAAAGACAGAATAAGTGATTTGCTCAAAGTCAGAATGGTTCAGTAAAAATAAACATGAACCAGATACACATGGATTTGAGTCCCAGCTTTCCTGTGGGCTAATTAGTTCATCACTGACTCAATTAAGATGTACTAATTTAAAAGTAACATAAAACTGAACAGCTTGAGCCATAGCACATTTATTTATGTAATGAAATCTGGAGGCAGAGAGCTTTGTGGTTGGTTTGATACATCAACAACTTTGTGAAGGACCCAGACTCTTTTTATCCTTCACCTTGGGCACCTTACTGTTTTGTCCTCATGCTTTTGGACTCTTGGTTGCCACAACTCAAAGCATCACACGTTTTTTTTCTTTAATTTAACTTTGTCCCATAGGAAAATATCTGCTTTAAATTGCTACATATAGACCATTTAGATTTGAGGCAATCATTGATATGTTAGAGTTATTCCTGCTGTTTTATTAGTATTTATTATTGTTTTCTGTTTCATGTTCCTCCATTTGTCTTTTCTTGACTTCCTGCAGTATACATGAACATTTTCTTAGAACACCATCTTGATTCATTTCTAGTGTATTTGTATAGTTTTCTTTTTTTAAGGGGTAATTAATATTCCTTTTTTACTATATCATGTATTTTATTTATTTTTTTGTATTTTTACATTTTTATTGAATTTATTGGGGTGACATTGGTTAACAAAATTTCATAGGTTTCAGGTGTACAGTTCTATAACACATCATCTGCATATTGTGCTGTGTGTTCATCACCCAAAGTCAAGTCATCTTCCATTACCAATTATCCACCCTTCACTCTCTTCTACCTGTCCCCATTGCTCTTTCCATTGTCTGGGTCTATGCAGGGTTTTTTGTTTTTGTTTTGGGGGGTTGTTTGTTTCTTTGGGTTTTTTGTTTGTTTGTTTGTTTGTTTGTTTGTTTTTGCTTAATCCCTTCATCTTTTTAACCCAGCCCTGCAACTTTCCTCCCCTCTGACAGCTGTCAGTCTGTTCTCTGTATCTACGAGTCTGTTTCTGTTTTGTTTCTTTGTTTATTTTGGTCATTAGATTCCACATATCAGTGAAATCATATGGTATTTGTCTTTCTGTGACTGGCTTCTTTTACTTAGCATAATAGTCTTTTTAAAAACTTTATTTCTTAAAGACTATAGTAGTATATTTATTGAGGTGTTTTTCCAAATTATTTTTGCAAAGACTGCCATATGTAGTCACTGAAGTCTTCATTCCTTTAGATTATGTTCAGCTAATATTTTGACATACATTTCTTTGAGTGCCAAGAGTTAAAAAATCAAACAACATCAACAACTTAGACACACACACATACACACTTCTCCCAGTCTTTGCAGATTGGCTCTTTGCTGAAGCACACCTTCAACACAGCCAAACTTGCACTTTCCCTATGGATCAGGCCAATGTGTGAGCTTTGGGTCTTCTCTGGTCTTTTCTAAGCATGTCTTCCCTAGGCATGCATGTGCCTTTATAAATCATCCCATATATATGGGTAGTTTCTTAATGTCTTAATTTCCTAAAGAATTTCCCCCAGTTTTAGCTCCCAAGATTAGGTAGTCTATTGTGTGTGCTCACCCATTATTTGTTGCCCTAAGTATCTGTGGTTTCCTAGTTTGCTTTGTGACATTTTTATAAAAACAAATATCCAGCCCCTTTTCAGTCTGCATTCTGAATTTAGTGAAATAGAGGTGATGACCATGTGTCAGTCCTTCATGGAGTCCCCAGACACATTAGAGCAAACATACACAATGGTTTGTGAATAAGTTTTGCAGATCTCACTTGGAAACTAGGGTAAGGATCTCACACTAGGAACATGGGCTGATGACACTTAAAGACTGCTTCTACTTTAGGACTGGTATTGCTCTGGGGAGAGGGCTGTGGTAAGGCAAGTAAAAAAGGCACAGAACTTTCTCCTATCATTTACAAGTTGTCTTCTTCTTGTTTCAGCATTTGCTTCATTGTGTAAACCTTTGACTGTTTCCAAGATTTATGACAACATTGATACTGACAGATTCTTCTTACTTTGCTATGTTTCTGTGAGGGAAGGAAAGCTTGGATCTTCTGCCTCTTCCACTGTCCTGACATCCTCTGTCATTTTTAATATATCAATTTCAACATCTCCCTGGGTATCTCTATACATCATACAATCAAAGTATAAATAAAATTAAGTATATTTTAAGTATAAACCAGTATTCGGGGAGCAGGCCTGGGAGAGGCAAACATCATTTTAATCTATTGGCTAGAAATTAGGTACATGGCCTCACCTAACTGCAGTGGGATTAAAGAAGGTTGGCTCTGATATTCCCTGGAGGAAAGGAGAGTGATTTTGGTGAACAAGCCAGTTTCTGCCACAACTACCAAATGGTTATATCCATTGATAACTAGAATTGTGTCTTTGAAAAAGAGCTATGATGTATGAGGCTGGAGCCTTGTTCCTAGGTTAAAATGTCATAGCTAGAAGAATATTTATAGACCATCTATTTCAATCTCCTATGACTCCCCAAAATTGAGAGGGTCTGGCCAGAGTCACACTGACTCAATACCAGACCTCAGCCAAGAACCAGCTGGAATACTCATCTCTCCTCTATACCATTAGCATTCATACATTTTTTTACCATTGCCAAGAGTAAGAAATAAAATTTTATCACAACCCAACACATACTTACATGTTTTATCTGTAAAATTTTACAAAGCAATACTGAGGTTGATAGTGAATGCAACTATTTGTCAAATCTCTCCAGCCCTCCCACTTTTTAGAACATTGCAGAATTGCACTTTCTTTTACTTTCATAGTTACTAAAGATCACATGATATGGGTGGTCGAGGATATGTGAGCAAAGTGAAATGGGAAGAGCCAGTGCACAGTTCTCAATGTTCTCTTTTCCCTGATGCTCCAATCATGGCAGCACAAAGATGAAGCCTCTGTCATCCTGGGTAACCCAATGAGGACAATGTAAAGCATAGGCCCTAGGAAACCAGAGGTAGGCAAATGGTGTGAGTGAGAAAGAAACTTGTTTTAAGACACTGAGATTTGGAGTATGTTTTTTGCCATAGTATAATTTAGCCTATGCTGACTGATATAAGTACCTAGCTTTAGTGTAAGCTATGCACTGTGGCATTTGATATCATTATTTTATTTAGCCTTATTTAAATTTTCAGTGCTGGTTGCAGCCTAGTAAATTGATTTCATGACTTGGTAATGGGTTGCAACTTGCAGTTTGTAAACTCTATACAATGCCCAGTTGTCCCATAGCTGATCCTCTATCCAAGATCCTGTACAGCAATGTTAGTGACTCCCATTTCTCTGCAGGATTGTGGTTATGGAGAGGGTGGAGATGCATACTGCACAGCCTGCCCTCCCCGCAGATACAAAAGCAGCTGGGGCCATCATAGATGTCAGATTTGCATTACCTGTGCTGTTATCAATCGTGTCCAGAAGGCCAACTGCACAGCTACCTCTAATGCTGTCTGTGGAGACTGTCTTCCCAGGTGAGTTTGCTGTATGAGACGAAGCTATTCTAGGACTTCTCTAGCCCTTGGAGGTCTCTCTTAACCTCGTTTCTCAGAACCTAGTTCAAGTATTCTTACTGTTCATATCATGATGAGTTTAAGCTCCCACTAAGGAGAAGCATTGTCTTGTCATGAGTCCCTTATACAGTGCCTAGCACATGGTCAACCACAGATTAATATTTAACAGCTTTATTATCATGCTGGCATGCTTAGCTCAGGGCCAAGATTCAAGGCAAATATCACTGTAGACATAAAACAAATTAGAAAGCAGTTGGTGTCAAAGCAGTGCTTCCCTCTCTTGTGATACTAGTTCCCCTTTTGGCTATAGAGTGTGGTGACTGGGGGAAGAAGTGAAGTATCTGGGACGCTGAGTCAGAATCAGACATAGAGATAGAAAACTCATGAGGGGTGTTGGTGGGTACTGGCTTCCAGGAGGGCAAGGCTCCTGAAAGCTACCTATGGTCTCAGGAAGGACAAATCCAAGGGCACTGATTGTTTGATCACCTTGCAAATCCTTATTGCTTTGACCACAGGTTCTACCAAAAGACACGTATTGGAGGCCTACAGGACCAAGAGTGCATCCCATGCACGAAGCAGACCCCAACCTCTGAGGTTCAATGTTTGTATCCAGTTCTCTTCTCTTTTTTCTTTCCCAAACCATTGGGTGGCAGTAAAAACTTCTACTACCCCCTCACACCCCTTCTTGTAGGGTAGATTAGCAAAATAACCAGTTAGATTTGAATACTGGTTTCACAATGTGTTATCTGTGTAACCCTCTGCAAATAAGTCATGACAATCATTGTTTTTCATACCTTATAGGATGGCTATCTAGGTCTAATGAAATAATAGGTTTAGAAAGCAGTTTATGAATTATAACATGTGTATACTTGTGGATGATGACAACTACAATGATGATGATGATGATGATGATGATGATTATGATATGAGGTTTATAGTAGTTCCTAGTGCTTAGGACTAGTAAAGGCTGAATGAAGTGCTAGGATCTATTATATGCCTATATCACTATCCATTTATCTGTCCATTTGTCTATCATTTTCATCTATCTACCACCTATATATCTACTTATGTATTCTTTTTAAAGTGTTGGTAACTTTTTTAATCATAAAATATTTCAAATATGTAGAAATATTTAAAATGCATAAATATTTAAAAATGCTCAATAACACAACATCTATAAATCTTAACATTCTGCAATTTGCTTCAGGAATTTTTAAGAGCAAAGACTACACAGGTTTACAAGACTTTCCTTTTTCATCCTCTCTGAGTTCCATTCTCTTCCTACCTCCCCAGAGGCAACCATTATCATGAAATTGTATGTATCTTGCTGGTAGGCTATGCTAAGTAACAAACCCCCCAATTTCAGTGACTTAATACAATAAAAGTTTGTTTTTCACTATGCAAAGTCCTTCCTCCATCTTGTGGTTATACTATCTAGGTCATGAGGCTTCTAGGTTAATGGGGCATGGAAAGAGATGGAGAAAGCATACTCGCTTTCAACTATTTTAGTCTGCAAATGACACATACTACTTCTACTTAAAGTCCATTGGCCAGAAGTACTCTGATGGCCTTAGTACAAGAGTGAATGGGAAGTGCAGGGAATCATGTGAATAATTTGTGAGCACTATGACTCACTCATCTCTCTATGCATGTTTTAATACTTGTATTCTTTGGTAACATACATATATATTTATAGGAAATATGTGCTATTATTTATATTTTATAATGTTTTATATAAATGACATCAAGCTACATACTCTCGAATTTGCTTTCTGCTCTGGATTATTTATATTAATCCTACAGCTCTTTTATTTTAAGTGCTATATAATAATATTGCATCATAGGATTATATCATGATTTATTTATCCTGTACCCTACTGATGTACACTTTAATTTGTTTCCATTTTTTTGGGTTATGTAACTAGAGGTAACATAGAAAGACCATAGGATATATGCATCTTCAAATATCTGTATAAATTTATACCATATTAGCAGTATATGCCACTTTCTTGGCTTTCTTCTTTACACTTTTGCCTGATCTACAAAGGAGTAAAACCATCTTAGCAGCTTTAATTAGGAAAAACCCTAGGGAGAGAGTGTTGGCCTGAGAGGAAGTCCAGGCCCAGTGTCAGGGGGACTGTTAACTGCCCACACTGATTGACCTCCCCAAATTTCTTGTCTCATAGGTGCCTTCCAGTTGAGCTTAGTGAAGGCAGATGTCCCCACAGTGCCCCCTCAGGAGGCCACACTTGTTGTACTGGTGAGCAGTCTGCTCGTGGTGTTTACCCTGGCATTCCTGGGGCTCTTCTTCCTCTACTGCAAGCAGTTCTTCAATAGACATTGCCAACGTGGTAAGTGTAGCTGCTTCATGTATTACATAAATCAGGAACAAGGCTATAATTAGCAGAAAAGAGGAATTTTATGGGCCTGAGAACTAATAGTCCTTCCATACAGTGCCAGAATACCCCAGGGGTAGACTATCTGGGGCTGGCAATAGAAAGCACAGGACTTCAGAGTTGACTGAGGCAAACCTTGACCATTCATGAGACCTGCTTCACTAAGATACAGGGTTCATAAAGGAAAAACATTATAGGAAAACCCTTAAAATAAAATCTAGCCCAGCTAGTGTGGCTCAGCGGACTGAATGTCATCCCATGCACCAAGAGGTCACTAGTTCGATTACCAGTCAAGGCACCTGCCTGGGTTGCAAGCTCAATCTCTAGTAGTGGGCATGCAGGGGCAGCCAATCAATGTTTCTCTCTCACATTGATGTTTCTATCTCTCCTTATCCCTTCCACTCTCTCTAAAAAAATCAATAAAAATATATTTTTTTAAATATCTGCAGACCTAGGTTCTAAACCACCATATAACGTTAGACAAATCACCTAACTTCTTTGGACCACTTTCTCCCTAATCTTAAAATGACAGGTAGAGTTAGATTAGTTGTTTTTTTAAGTTCTTTTTCAATTTTTTTTTTATTTTTAATAGGTATAGATTTGGAAACATACCAGGAATGAAGGAGGGCTATCTGGATTTGAAATATGACTGTAATAAAATTGGGTGAAGTATTGGGTAACTGTTATTGGTATTGTTATAACCCAAATGTGGGTAACTGAGAGTCTGGTGTCCAGAGGAGTTGGCAAATCTAGACGTTTTTCCCCAGACAATAATGATATCTAGAAAGATCTGGCAGCCCATAGGAAATAGCCATGTGAAACTTCAGATGGAAGGTCATATTTAAATCAGGAGTAACATTGTGATCTGTTTTCAGCACAACTTCAACCATCAGCCAAGAATGGAGGACAGAGTGTCCAGATCACTAAGGGCAAAGATGGGAAGGTGGAATGGTTGCTAGCCAAGATGAGGCAGAGTGTTAAAACTCCAGCCAAGGGTACTGAGGCTCAGTACAGCTGAAGTGTCATCAAAGGAACTGAAAGCTTTGGAGAAATACCAAAATAGGAACACAAGCTACTGAATGGTGTTGATTTAGTAAAACAAAACAAAACAAAACAAAAATGTGGAGGGAGGATAAAGTTTACAGGATACTGGTGTGCTTAAGTCTCCTCCTTCACCCACTAGGTACAGGGCTCAAAGCAATACAACTTTTCCTCTCTATATTTGTATGAGAAGATCCCTCTTATATAGACCTACATTGATAAGTTTGGCTCTAGCATCTGCTAGATGATCTTTAAAAAGCTTAACAGATGTGTTTGGCTGTACCCCTGGCTTAACTGGAGATTAATCTAACATGTCATGGGGTTCAGGGACATAAGAGGAATGCTATTGTCCCTTTATAACCCTTATTAAACCCTATTTCTACCTCCACTACTCTTTGGAAATTATGGTTCAGGGTAAACCATCCTGTATTTGACTTTGGAGGTTAGTTTCTCAGATAGGAGCTGTTGTCCAGTCCTGGGCATGAGAATGAAACATGGACAATGAAATATTTGGGCCACAAGGTCAAGAGCTGCTTGTCTCCCTTTTCTTGACACAGAAAGAAGAAATGGGTAACTTTTCTATGCTTTTTCTCCGTACTCAACATAATAATGTAGTACCCTTCTGTGGAGAAATGAGGGCAGGCAGCTCCCTCATGGTCTCCATAGGGGAAAGGGGGTTAGATAGTTAGATAGTTTTCCAGTGGGGAAGATGTTTATCAGGAGTCACTGATTTACATGTATACTGTGGTTGTATAGGTGAGATTAGCATGTGAATTAGATCCAGCATAAGGTGCAATAGGGAGTTGTAGGGACTGTGGCAAACTGAAGAATTTATCTCCTTTCTGCAGGGAAATTTACTACTCATCTCCAGTTATTTGTTACCATATGGGAATATTCAATGTTTGAAGATCTCCTGGATTTTCAAGAGAAGCCAAAAATCTGGATTTGTTTATGAAATAGTTTTAAGCTCTTACAATGAGTTCTAATAAAAAATAAAACCACAACCACGATGTGGAGGTCAAGAAAACACACATAGGCTCTCAGTTTGTAATCTGATGTCGAATCAGACTTAGGCATGAAGGATGTATTACTTTTCTATCACTGACATAACAAATTACCACAAATTCAATGGCTTAAAAATGACAACCATTAACTCTCTGTTTACATAAATCAGACATTTTGCAGACTCAGCTGAACCTCTGCTTAGAGTCTCACAAAGCTGAATTCAAGGTGTAGGGAGGACTGTGTTCCTTTCTGGAAGTTCCAGAGTAGACTCCATTTTCTTGACCACTCAGGAAAATAGAAAAATTCAGTTCCTTGCATGTATAGGGCTGAGATCCCATTGATTTTTTTTCCTGTCAACTGAGGGTCATTCCCAGTTTCTAGAGGCCACCCGCATTCTCTGGCTTATGCCCCATTCCATTGTCAAAACTAGCAATGATGAATTGAGTTCTTTGATGATTCATCCTTATGATATTCTCTGATTCTTCTGCTCCCTCTTTTACTTTTAAGGACACATGTAATTACTTTGGGGTCATTTGGGTAATCTAGGGCACTCTCCCTATTTTAAGTCCCATGTTCTTAATACTATCTGCAAAGTACCTTTGCCATATAACACACACAGGCATAACACCAGAGGGTGAAGATCATGGGGTTGGGTGTCAAAATCCTGCTTCCCACAAAGGTTTGCTCTTTCTCTGGAGAAATTGACTCTTCTTTTTATTAAATATGTACTTTTTATTGTTATGTCCCCCATTTTCCTCCTGCTTTGGCCCTTCCTCTCTGCCCAGACCCTCTCTCCTCCCCATACCTTTACCACACTATTGTCTGTGTCCATGGGCTATGCATATATGTATATAAATTATTTGGTTTATCTCTTCCTGATCCCACTCTCCTCTGAGATATGCCAGTCTGTTCCATGCCTCCATGCCTCTGTACTTATTTTGTTTGTCAATTTATTTTGTTCACTAGATTCCACAAATGAGTGAGATTATGTGATATTTGTCTTTCTCAGACTGGCTTATTTCACTTAGCATAATAATCTCCCCTGCTTCACCACCAGGTAGCCTCAATATGATATCCCAACCCTAATGTGTTTCTCAACTGTGTCACCCCAGCCTGGTGCTAGGTGCTTTGGTACCCAGGAAGAGGAAGGAGAGCGCTAGCTCCCAGACCCTTTTTTATCTTGTACCCAGGACCAGGTGCCCTGCTGAAAGGAGCCCCTTCCTTTGGGTGACCCGGTGGCTTTCTACTTCGAGTTGCAGGAGGTTCGCTGCAGTTTGAGGCTGACGAGGCAGCGGAGGAGGAATCTCTCTTCCCCATGCCACCTGGCCAGGAGACCAGTCCTGAGTCCCCACTGAGTGAAAACATCTTTGAGACCCAGCCACTTAACCCCATCCTGGATGACGACAGCAGCTCAACTCGTGGCTTCCCCACCCAGGAGTCTTTTACCATGGCCTCCTGCGCCTCAGAGAGCCACTCCCAGTGGGTCCACACTCCCATCGAATGCACAGAGCTGGACCTGCAAAAGTTTTCCAGCTCTGCCCCCTATACTGGAGCTGAGACCTTGGGGGGGAACACAGCTGAAAGCTCTGGAGAGAGGCTGGAACTCAATGTGCCCTTTGAAGTTCCCAGCCCTTAACTCTACTGAGGTGAGCTGGAAAGACTACGAAGAAAGACCAGAAATCGGACACCACCCCAAAAGGAATTCTCCTCTTGAATACTGTTCAGTAGGGCTAGCAGTAGAGGAACAGCAAGCTAGGATCACTAGTGATGTTAGAGCAACAGTGATAATACTAATCTCTTGAGCCAGTCACATATCACATTTCTGGGCCTTCAAGGAACTGGCTAGGTTGATGGGACACCAGTCTCTCTATTCTGGCCTTTGCAAGGACTCTCAGGGTCCCACTATCTAATAGTTATTCAGTGATCTCCTCTCATGTAAACAAGCACCATGACACAGAAAAATATACAAGCCTTGACATCTGGGAGCCCTATATTTCAAATATATTTCCATTCATTAATAGCTATGTGAACCTTGTTTAAATCCCTTTACCTCTCTGAGCCTCAAGCCCTTAATCTGTAAAATGTAGGAAGCACTACTCACCTCATATGTTCAGTGTGTTGAATGAAAAATGCATGTGCGAGTGCCTTTTAAAGAATCTGATGCATTAGAGATGTTTAAACTATGTTAATTTTCTTTCCTTTCCCCACTGCCCATCACAATCTACACATTCCTTCATAACAACTACATTCATATTTATAATATCCCTTTATGGTAAGCAGGTCAAGGTTTATTAGGCTTATTTTATGGAAGCAGGAACTGAGACAGAAGCGAAGTGATTTTCTCAAAGTCAGTCACAGAGCAAATCCACGGCAGAACTAAGCTCAAACACAGGTTTTGTGGCTCTAATCCAGAGCTCTTCCAACTCTATCAATGCAACTATTTGATGGACAATGTTGCTTTCTCAAAGGCTTAAGTAGCATGAGGCTGGAAGGTGAGTAGATTCTTACTTTTCAACTAACCAGCTACCTTTCACCACCCATTTCCAAATTTCTCTAGCTAAGATATTGTCCAAGTCCTTCAATGACATGCTCCTCCCTACATCCTATCTAAGAAAATGTGAATAACATGTGGATGAATGCCAAGATTGCTATCAAAACAGTCAAGTTCAACCTACCTTCCAAGTCCTCCAATCCATGCTTGAGTCTCTTTTATAATATTCCCCCAAATTCCTGTGTCATCCTTGCTCACATACTTGCAGTATCTGTTCCTGGGGCCATACAGACCTCATCCACTTTCTCTGCCTTGTGATAGCCCTGAAGAAATCTAAAGATAGCATCTCCTCTCTGGAAAATACCACTTTTGGTTCCTCTAAAGTATGTGAAGCTTAGAACTGAACTGAGTTTCATGAGGAATGGTCTCACCAGTAGAATAGGGTAGAACTATCATCTTCTTAGCTAGGTGATGCATTTCTTCTATTGTATCCTAAACCATTGGCCTAAACCATGTTAGTTATTTTTATTTTTGAGGGGTGAGGAGAGGAGGGAGCTAGCAAGATTGCACCCACAGTTTTCTAACTAGCTCTGCTCCCTCCCTAGGTCTCTTGGGCTCCTGGCAGCCTTGCCCAGTCATTCTCCCTGGACTCTCCTGCCTTGTTTCTATACCACAGCAGCAGCAGGGGCCTGGGATGTGGTGTCCTCAACAACCAGTACTCTACGGATGGGGTACATACTATCACCTGCCACCAGAGAATTGATTCTTCACCATTTTCCCAAGACTGATCTGCAGCATTTCTTGCTTAGCTATTCTAGCTAGCCTGGAGAGCTGGATTTCACAGCCATGGGACTACTAAATATGTTCTTAGCTCAGCTTGATTGTAGGAAATGGGAGGGGATGGGGCAAAGTTTTACTGTGTGCACCTTCAATCAGGTGGACCTCAAGGACTGGCCTTTCAGTACTCTATTGATACATCTATACCTAGCACTTTAGGGACAAAATCAAACTCTTCCCCCTTTGGTTTCTCTGCACTACTCCTCTCCCTAATGCACATGTGTGCGCGCGTGCATGCACACACACACATACACACACACATACACACACACACACCTTGGGAGAGACCTGACACCTTGATATCCCATTCATCTCCTAGACTTCTGTGACAGTGACAGCTCTGGAGCTAGCCCATTTGCCAAGGCCTTCCTCCCACATACAGGTCTCTACCCTTCTTTACTGGTCTTTTTTGTCTTTACAATGGTAGTTCCTTTTATTTTTATTTCTCTTCAACTCTTGCCTCTTTTGCCCCTTCCTGGTTACTGGTCTTTTAAAGCCTAAGGTTGAGTATCTGAATTCCCAGGGCCAAACTCAGAGCTGAGAACTTTGGTTTTTGGGGTTACAGTGAAATTCTCAAGATCTAGGTGGGGACACTGAGAGCCTAAGGTTCTTAATGAGGCCTGACCCTAGGGCAGCTCAAAGACCATTTGTGCTTTCTGGGTTTAGAGAAAAACAATCAATTTATAATCCTTCACCCAGTTTTACATGCTTCTTAGAATGAAATAATGGAAATTTTTTTCCATGACTGATTTCACAGAGAACCTCAGGGCTCAGATGTAGGCATTATAGATTTTTTTAAGTCTACCTTATGCTTATAATGGAATATTGAGCTGATGTTCACTCCTACAGTAGGTCATATTTGAAAGGAAAACATGCTTAATTAAATGGAGCAACTGTCTCCTTTGTTTGAGAGCAACCTATATAGGCCAGAATGCTGGATGTGACTTAATTTGTAAAAAAGAAAAAAAAATCTAGATATAGGAGACTGTTACCCTGGAGGGGAAGACTGCAATTTACTACATATATGGATGTTGCACTTTGCAGTTTGCAAGGTGCCATCATCTCATTGGACCTTTACACAGACCCTAAGGTGGGCAAGGCAAGGGTTACAATCCACAGTTGACAGGTGAGAGATGAAAAATGACTGGCCTTACGTTACTTAGTGATGTAGGGGTAAATAGCAAGTCTAGGGGGCTCTCCAAAATCTTGAAATCTTCATTTTCTGAAAGACAGTATTTTGGAGTAGGAGCACTTTTGGTTTTCTGGCATATCTGTTCCAGAAAACAACTCTCTTTGGAAAGAAAAATGATGGAGACAAATAAGGTTATTATGCCTGGATGTGAATGAGGTAATGTCCTTTCCCATCATACCAAGCCTATCCTCTCCCTTTCCCACCAGCTCTCCCACCCCACCTTGTAGTCAACCTGGGTGTACATTCTCTGTGAGGTCTGACCCCAGTGGGAAGCTAAGAGACTTTCCTTTCAGCACTGACTCTCAAAGGATCAAAAAGAAGGGCTTCGAGGTTAGACAAGATTCTTTCTACTTGTCTTTCTCCTTTTGCCCCTGGGGTGTGAAGAGAAAAGATAAATGCTGGAACCAGTAGGAGCACTCATCCCGTTTGACCCCTACCCGTCTATATTCCTTGGTTCAATTTAAGAGTCTCTAATCTTAGTTTGATGAAGACTTGAGACTTTAACTTTATTTGGAGGTAGGCAGGGGGCAATTATCCCATCTCTAAAGACCTCTTCCAGCTGTTATTTGAGCAAATCTGATAGTTATAATACTTAAGTCTTTTACAGTCTAGGAAAGTATATTCATATATTTTGCCTGTTTTAAATAACAGGAAACTGAAGTCCAGACAGGAGTAGTAACTTACCCAAAGCAGTTCTTATTTGGGAAAGGCAGCTTGCCCCACATACCCACCCCCATAGACAAGTGTGGATCCCAAAGCTGATAGTAGAGACCAAGAAAGGGAATGTAGAACAGAAACTGCTCTTGGTATGGCAGAGGGACAAGCAGCAGTATTGAAGGGCACTGGTTATTTTTCTCTACTGCCTAAATAGCCCTTAAAAGATCACTGAGGAGCATAGAAAAACATAGCAAAAAGACTTAGGAGATTGATTAAGATAGTTCATCCCCACTACCAAGAAAAGCAGCTAGCCCCATAGTCAAATGTTGATGAAGAAGTCTTCCACTGAAACATAGCACATTATGTCATCTTCATCCAGAATGGAAAGGACTTTGCTTGTTTTTTGTTTTTGTTTGCGTGCTTGCTCTTCTCTCTCTGAAGCTCTTACCTCCTATAACCTATAACGTTTCCTCTGCCTTCTTCTAGATCCCTCTAGACTCACTATACTCCCTGGGTCAGCTGAAAGTTCTTTTTTTTAATATTTCTGCATTGTTTTATTTGGTATTATTTCAATACTAAGATTTAAACAAAAATTTAGATTGTAGGAATGCATTCTTATATCATTTCTGTAGAGATAATAGGATATTTTAATAAAGAAAATTTTATGTCAATTGTTTATAAATTGGATTCAGTTCGTATAGAAAGAGAAAATATTTGGCTTTATGCAAAACTATAATTTTTTTTATTAATTTTTTATTTATTTTTTTGTTACAGATATTTTACCTTTTTTACCCCATTGGCACCCCCCTCCCCACCCCACCCCCACCCTGTCCCCGGCTTAGCTGAAAGCTCTTATGCGTGTTTAAAATAACAATGGTCCCACATTGCAGCAGAGGGCAGGACAAGCAATTTCCTTGTTCATCTCCTGGGCCTCTACTTTTTATTTGAGGTGCTGTAACTCTCTACCCCCATCAGGGAGCAGGACTGGGATTTGCTCTCTTGGAACCTTACAGAACAAATCTGAGCCAAGGTGACCTTCCCACTGGGCCCTAGTTTCTGAAAACTACCTTTCAGCAGTCCCCCAAAGATATTCCCTCATCCATTTAGGGGCAGTGAGTGGGGTGAAGAAAGGAACTCTACTTCCTCTTTCTATTTGACATGTTAATTGAATCCCAGCTCTCTCACCACCCCTTTCCATTTGATTCTTTCTGAAGTGTTTTGGCTTTAGCATCCCAATATCAGGGAAGAACAAGCTCCATGGAGGCTGTATTCTTTTTATTATTTGGTTGATTTTCTGAAGCTTCTATAGCTACTTCCAGCCCCACAAGTACCTGTTGGTTAATTAAGTACATGAACCATCACAAGGTCCTAGCCCTGGAAAAGGAATGCTCTCTAAGCAAAACCTCTGTTTACATGGTCATAGTAAATGCTTATTTGGGAACAGTCTCTCTATAAATGC